CATCTGCCTAGCTTGCCCTCTTGTGTCAAGAGGTGTCTGTTCAAATGTCCTGTCCACTAACAGGCTTCCCCTGGCTGCTCTATTTAAAATACCCAGAGCACCACTTCCTCTAACACTCTCATATCCTGCTTAATATTTCATGATATTTGCTCGGAAAAAACATAAACTCCACGAGTGTAGGCTTTTTGTTGGTAACCGATACATCTGCAGCTTCCTAGAAGACTGAATGGCACATGGCATTCGTCCCTGAATATTTGTTGAATGGATGAAGGCTAAGTCTGTCACAGCATTCCTGTTCCCATGTGTCGTTAAATTCTAAGACATTTTTTACTTCATAACTTTAGTTAGCTGAGCTATGAATCTATATTTGTGTTAACTAAGCAAGCAAACTTTACAACCAAACCCATCTGTAAAAGCTAGCCTGTCGAATCCCTCATTTCTGGTAAATGTGTCTATATCAATCAACCCAGTCACATCTAAAAGTTCGTTTCTTCTTCCTTAGTCAAGCAAACGTAAAACTCTGTCTCCATATGTCTTCTCCAGCCTTCTGCTGATGTAAAGTAGGCAAGGCATGTAAAGGCTTCTTCTTGATTTGACTCTGTAACTGGTTACAGGTCTAGAGATGCTGAAGAGAGGATAAAGGAGCCAAAAGGAGAATTAGGAGTGTTTTCTTAGATGGGAACCAGGAGTTAGCGTAATGGCTATGTCGCTGGACTCCCACGTAGTCGACCACGGTTCGCATCCCAGACCCGGTGGCTTAAAACTCATGCCGGGCGCGTGTGCGTGTGTGCCCAAGATCCCGAGAGGAGAATGGAAGAGAAGGGATTGCGGCATGACCATCCCCCCTGGGGGGTGATTTCTCGCTTTCTGTCTCTCTATGTCTCTCTCTGTCTGTCTGGCGAGTGCACGCGCCCTATAGTGAAAACCTCTCCAAAAAAAAAAAATTATACTCTATGAAGTATGAAAAATACTGTTTTCCTTTAGAAACTGAGTAAAATAGAAAAATTACTGGTTAGCTGGTATGGCCATACCCTTCTGTGTGGTATGTACCTAGAGGTCATTGCCAGGACTCCTAAGAGTATGCCGCTCTTTTTTTTTTTTGGAGAGGTTTTTTGCTATAGGGCGCGTGCGCTCGCCAGACAGACAGAGACATAGAGACAGAAAGTGAGAAATCACCCTCCAGGGGGGATGGTCACGCCGCAATCCCTTCTCCTCCATTCTCCTCTCGGGATCTTGGGCACGCATGCACATGCACCTGGCTTGAGTTTTAAGCCACTGGGTCTGGAATGTGAACCGCAGTCAACTACGTGGGAGTCCAGCAACGTAGCCATTACGCTAACTGCTGTTTCCCAAGAGTATGCCACTCTTTTGTTTCCACTCCCATGGCATTTCTGATCCTGCTTTGCCATATTATCTCCTAGTTTCAATATATTCACAGTCTCTTGAATCCTCAGATTTGACAATATCCATTCCTTTCCCAGTTATAACTCAGGCTTCTTTGATTTATAACTCTTCCTCTCTGGCAACATATTGCTCACATCGAAGAGCAACACTTCTATAACAAACCTCCTTTACTTCCATACAAACTGATTGATTTCATGGTAGAATCCATTAATGAAGAATGTAACATATAATAAAGATATAGCTTGATATAGGATCAAAGAGGAGCAAAAAGAGAACTGCCAAACCCCACGTAATAGCACCAGGGAAAGTTGCCCAGAAGAGAGAACTAGTTAGGATGATGACTGGGCCAACCCATGAATAAAGAAAGATAGATCCCTGGGACCAGCGGTTAGCGTAATGGCTATGTTGCTGGACTCCTATGTAGTCAACTGCGGTTCGAGTCCCAGATTCCGTGGCTTGAACTCAAGCCGGGCGTGTGTGCCCAAAATCCCAAGAGGAGAATGGAGGAGGAGGAGTTGTGGCGTGGCCATCCCCCCCCCGGGGGATGATTTCCCTGTCTCTCTCTGTCTTTCTGGCGAGCGCACACACCCTATAGCAAAAAAACCTCTACCTCCTCCCCCAAAAAAGAAAGATAGATCCCACTTTGCAGCGTGGCCATCTCCCCTAAGACAAAACCTCTCAAAAAAAAAAAAAAGAAAGAAAGAAAAAGATATATCCCCCATGACTGACTGCAGTATGGATCTCAATCCTAGTGTCTTGAGGAATATGCTGAGTGCATGTGGTATGCCCAGAATTTTGACAAGATGGAGAAATGGGAAAGAAGGGATTGCAATATGGCTCCCTCTCTCTTTCTCTTTCTCTCTCTCTCTCTCTCTCAGATGTGCCCTATGACAATTTAAATATATATATGTATTTCTAGGTTTTTTCATGTGCTATCTCACTTAATCCTTTCAATAATACTATCAGCCAGATTCTATTTTACCCCTATTTTATAATAAAAGGAACCAAAGGACATTAAGATGAAATGACTTGCCCATGGTCACATAGTTTGCACATGATGGACCTGCAAGTTCAACCTAGGAAGCTCCGAAGTCCCTGCTCTCAATCTTGGGTGATAAGACAAAACCCAGCCAGGACTGAGGATGGCATTCTGTCTAGACCATGGAAGAGTACATGCAAAGTAAGGAAACATGAGAGAACATGGTTTCTTTAATCACAGCAAGGCATTCAGTATGGCAAGAGTGTGAATAGAGGCAGAATACAATGCTTGAAGAATTAAGTAGAAATCAGTTCATGAGGGGCCTATTTGCTAAATTTTTTCTTACAGAAATTGAAGAGTGGTTGAAAGTTTTAAGCAAGACAATAACCTGATCAGAGTTATATTTTTGAATAATCCCTCTGTGGCAATATGGAAGGTAGACTGGAATAGATTGAAGCTAAAGGTATAGGTTGCTATTTGGAAGCATTTTGCCATATGCTAAGGAGATGGTGAGGACTGACCGGGACAGTAATTTTAACGATGGAAGGAGAAGATAGAGTTGAATGTCACAAAACGAAACTGAAATTTTTCAGATTTGAAGCGTCAACAGTATCTAGAGGGAAATAAGGTAATGGTGTTCCTCTATTTGTCTGTTTTCCCACTAATGAAGTAGTACTCATTAAGCCTTTACGAAGTCAAGAATATTGTCTAGATTAAGTAAACATTATGCAGCTTTTCAGATAAGAGTAAATACACTAATATTACTTAAATAATAATGTTTAATTTTTTTCATGTTGAGTAGACAGATGAAAATATGAAATCTTCCATTTTATGAAGTTTTTAAAGGACTTGAAACATGAACCAGCAAATTTGTTGCTTGGATACTTTTTATACTTTGTATATTTAAGCTCTTTCTTTTGACAGACATGTCATTAATCCAGTTGGAATGTTACTGCTATTGGTAATTTTTTTTTCCCTCAGTTACAGATGAATTAGTTCTATCTAGAATGATAATATTTAGGGACCAGCAGTTAGCGTGATGGCTCTGTTGTTGCACTCCCACGTAGCTGACCGCAGTTCAAGTCCTGGACCCAGTGGCTTAAACTCAAGCCAGGCGCGTATGCGTGCATGCCCAAGATCCCAAGAGTAGAAAGGAGGAGAAGGGATTGGGGTGTGGCCATCTCCCGGGGGAGTGATTTCTCACTTCCTGTCTCTGTCTCTCTCTGTCTGTCTGGCGAGTGCACACGCCCTTTAGTAAATATCTCTCCAAAAAAAGAAAAAAATGATAATATTCAGATATAAAATCTCATTTAAGATAGCAAATATTAGCCATCAAAATGAAACCAAGACTCTACATGTATTTATAGATAGTCGATTTATATTTATGAATGTTACTATATATTAGTGAATAGTTAAGGCAAAAAATGCTAAAGATTATCCAATTTAGAGTATATTGTATAATGTATAACCTGAAATAATTCCAAAAAGGATTTTCTATGTTATGCAATTAGAGAAGTGCCATAAAAACATAATGGAAAATACAAATTTAGTCCTCTAAAATGTGGAAAGACAGAACAAAAAGCTTTTGAGCATTTACACAGATTAACGAGTTGTCATATTCTTCAAACATGATACCTAGTTCCCATTAAATCAGTGGGAACTCTGTATAAGCATATTTTTTCCCTCAGAGTTTTTTTTTCAGAACTCTATTTTGTGATAAGTCCATTTTTTATCACAGAAATTTACTTAAACTTACATATATAGTTATGTAAGTTATAAAATAAATGAAAATGCTCTTATCTGAAATAAATACATTGTATAATATAAAAATATTTCTTAGTTTTTTTTAAAAAGCAAAAAAAGAGAAATAAAATGAGTTAATATCTTTACATCCGGTATCCTGAGTAGATACAAAGCCTTTGAAATCTACAACATTTTACATTTTGGTTATCATCTAATTCTATTTGCATTTCTCTTGCTTTAACATTTTAAAAGTATTCATAATAACTTAATTTTCATTACACTTAAAAACTTTGTGTTATATATATGTATATATTACATACCTTTGACTAAACTTTTCTATGAGGGATTAATATTTGAAAAATTAACTTATTGGGACCAGCAGATGGCATAATGGTTACATCGCTGGACTCCCACATAGTCAACCGTGGTTTGAGTCCTGGACCTGGAGGCTTAATTTCATGCTGGGCACGTGTGCATGCATACCCAAAATCTTTAGAGGAGAATGAAAAAAAAGGGATTGTGGCCATCCCCCCTAGGGGGTTATTTCTTGCTTTCTGTTTCTCTGTCTCTCCTGTGAGTGCACATGCCCTATAGCAAAAAATCTCTCTCAAAAAAAAAAAAAAGAAAAAAATTAATTTATTACCTAAAGCAACCATCATTTTCAATTACTTTCAAATAATGGGTTAAGTTACATCTTTATGAATATATTTTGAAAACTTGGATAGTTATTAGATACAGGCACTAGAAAATAAAGATAAAATTTATTGCTATGACTCACAGTATAGTGAACTACTTCAATTTTTATTTGAGAACCTATTTTTATGCATGCAGCAGAATACTGCTGTTATCTCTAAAATAATCCCTTTTTACAATAATTAAATGAGACAGTTTTTTTTAATAATCTTTTTAATATGTTTAGCATTCCAAAGTTAATGGATTATAAAATTTCCAGATTGTTTTTTTAGTTAAAAAAATAAACACCTCTTTAAATTTCTGATAGTAAAATAAGCAATCCACCAGTTAGGGTTGAAATATATAATATTTGAACTATTTTATACACTTTAAAATTCATATGTATTTAATAAATAAATTTGTCATAGAAAACTAATTTTCTATGAAGTGAATAGCTTAATGATATTATTGCTTTGAATATGAAATTGGCCTTCAGAATATAACAACCTAAAAATAAATTCTTCATTTCCCATCCCACCCTACCCCCTAGAAAGAAAGCATACCAGTAGTCTAGCACAGTATGAACAATCTAAAATTTAAAATTATTACCATACAGAGCAGAGGAAGATCATTTTATGTTAAAGTACTTTTTACCATCCAATAGCTAAAGAGCTTTAAACTATAAATGAGTTACCTTTAAACCATGGTCTTTAAAATTACATATTTTGAATATTTTTGGGGTGACATTATACAACCACATTTTAAAATATTTTAAATGATAAATATTTTACATTTCATTAATATTGCATGAACAAGTTTAATTAAATAGATGATTTCCTTTTGTCTGGGAACTAAAATGTAATAATAGGGCCTTTTTAATACAAAGTAAATGCCAGAAATCAAGTAAGTTTATAAAAGAATAGTGATAACAATAGTTATAGAGAAATATTCAAATAACTGTTGCCAAAAAGAGTGATATACGTTCAGATATGCTTACATCACAAAATACAGAAGTAGAATCTAGCCTACTGAGTAAATGATTTTTTTAAATTGGTACAAGTAATGTGAGTAATAGAAAATTTTTCAGTTAACAGAAATGTAAAGAACCATAAATCTAATATATAATTCTCTCTAATCCCAATTGCTTGCAAGCATTCACTAGATAACAGCATAACAGCAACAAAGGAGTTCTTTAAAATGCATATTTTTCAGCTTTATTTCAAACACTGTATAGCATAAGAACCTACTACTCAGAGATCACTTTTTAGTCATGGAAAAGGAACGTGAAACAAGGCATATTCCAAAGTGCTGAAGGAATTAATTGCTCTATTAGATAATGAATACCTGGAGGAATGAGCACTAACAATTCATGGCTTAAAGTGCTTGGGTCTAATCATCATTTTGGCCTCTTTGAAGGAGGACCTATAGCCACCAGGGTGTCCCTCACTCATACCAGGCCAGGTGCCCCAGAAAATCCCATTACGGATGCCTCTGTATTTTTGGTGATAATATTTACCATTTAAGTTTGCAGAAAGACATGCATCAAACCACCAGCCAGAACTGTAGTAGTGCCCACAATTCCCAGAGGGATATCGATCATTGTCTCTATCTGGAGTGGTGAAAAACTTCAGATTGTGGTTGTAATGTTTACTGAAATGCAAGGCATCTCCAGCAGTGCCGTTATAGTTACCTATGTGCACACGGTATTTGAGAAACTCGTTAGCCACGTAAAACTGATCATACAAGGCATACAGTTTGACACCATCAAAGTCTTCGAGATCTATCCTCAGAATCATATCTGTACTCTTGGTCAGAAGATGAATTTTGTCATTCCCCAGCCAAAATTCTCTTCTTAGGTTCCCGAAGCCTGCTTTGTAGTCTTGCCATGTTCTGTTGAAGTTGATGCTTCCATCGAGACGTGTCTGCAGTACAGTCCAGCCTCCCCCCATGGTCTCCATGTCACAGAAAACGTCAAAGCTACTATTTTTGGGATCAGGTGTAACTCTGTAGATCTCACTGCTTCTTTTGCCTATTGCGTAGTAGTCAGAACAATCTTTATATATTAGATGTTGAACTGAAGGAGGAAGGAAAGGAAGGCATTGACTTTATTAATAAAAATGATTCATCTGAAGAATTCTTTATATATACAAAAACAGTTTGTCAATAAATGAATGGCAATAATGAAACTTTGTTCTGCTAGACTTACGTGAACTTGTTTAGGAAATGCTTATTAAGGCCTCTGAACAAGAACCTGGTATTAGAAAGTAGACAAAACTTGGGGCCAGCATATGGTGTGGTAGTTAAAGTCTGGACTCCTACATGACCAACCATGGTTCAAGTCTGGACACTTGAAAATGTGTCCAGAGGAAAATGGAGGAGAAGGGATTGCGGCATTGCCATCCCCCTGCCCCCCCACCAGGGCAAGGTATTTCTCTCTCTGGCAAACACACACACCCTATGGCAAAAACCTAAAAAAAATTAAAATAAAAAAAAGACAAGATTCTTCAATATACTTTTAGTTGATGATAACAGTGACAACATCAGCAACAAACAATAATAATAAAAGAACACATAAAAACAAGTTTTATTTATTAGTTTTATTTATTTATTTGCTAATCTTTAGCAAGGGTTACCTATATGTTCCAGGCACTCTGCTAAAGACTAGGTAACATTTTTGCACTTAATCGGCGCTTCAACCTTACATAGTAGGCATGACTGCCAGTCTGCAGGTGAGGATATTTGGGTTTAAGAGGAGCAGTGGCTTGCCCACATTCACCCAGGCATTAAGTGGCAGAGCCAGGACACAAACATATATCTGGCTGGCAATAAAGCTTATTCTCGGAGTGATTACATTCCTCGGTCCTAAAATTCATATGATTCCAACTCTCCTATAATTGATTCCATGCATCTAGGGGAAGCACAGGCTTCTATTTTCTGTAACCAAAAAGGCCTGGTAGCCTCTACTATCAGAAAGCTTTATAGGATACGTTCCAAATGCAGCATTACAATTCTAATATATAGCATTAATCATAAATTCACATTTATTTAACTCGGCAACTATATAAAGAAGCCCAAGTGAAAAAGAAATCGTTTTTCAATAATATATGAATATTCTAATTCTGAATTTATTATCCAGGAAAAGTATTTAGCTAGTTTCATATGTTTTATTTCTAGAAATAATAAGTGATTATGTTCAGGATAAGCATAACAGCCAGTGAACAGAGTTCTAAGGGAATCAAAGAAAGATATTTACTCCCCAAGAATTTCTATAAAAATGTATGACAGGTAAGTTTAACATAAGGTACTCTAATAATAAGGCCCAAAAATATGTTCATGTGTATTTAGAAATCAGAATATTCAGATATTTCCCTGAAACATTTAGGAGAAAAATTGACAGTAGAATCTTGTTTGTATCATAAGTTGCTATGCAGCATCAGATCTGCTGTGTACCCAGTGATGTGGCCTAAGACGCGAACCTCTGCCTTGCAGTGTGCAGGTTGCACGTAGATACAGGCTGCCCCAGGAATTCGCAGCAGAGGCCACAACCAAGCTTCACTGGCAGATAGAGTCCTGCCTGTGGTACTTATTCCAAAAGAGTGACCTCTGCCATGTCCCTTCAAGCTCACACCCTCAGTCATTAGGTAGAGGACCTAATGCAGAGAGAGGACTTTCCAAAGTATAACACATTGGTGACAGTGATCCTCAGAATTCAGGTGGAAAACCAGGGTTTGCCATGGTTAGATCATGAGCAAAGTAGGCAAGTCTGTGGTTTTTAACTACGATTATTAAAGTTAATTCAAATAATGTGGATGATGAGGATGGGTTGTACTTTAAGTACTCAGATCCCAGCATAAATTAAAGAAGAAAGAAATAATATCTCTTCTTTTAGGAGCATGCTGCAACTCCCTCCTTAGAACATTTTTGTGCTGCTAGGTCTCAAGGCAAAAAATATTGCACACAGGTGAAGCCGCTTTTGTTCCATCTATAAAATATCCAATTTTCACCAAATATGTGTGATTATGATCTGCAGATTATTTGCTTAAATCTTGTAAAGACCTGTTGCTATAAACAATAAAACTGATTTCCAATGAGCATAGCACAATTGAAAGTACTGCTTCATCTTGTTTTCAAACACTTCAGAAAAGAGAGAAACTAAATGCACTAGAACATTAATTTCTCTCTCTGCTGCTGACTGTGTAGGTCCGACATTAACAAGTAAGACTTTTAAATTGGAAGTGCTTTCTAATGGATAAACTAATTGTAATTTTTATAATTGGGCTCTGTATCATTTCTGTGGTCACATTTGAGAAGATACTTGTTTTTCCTGCACCGCCTTGATGAATAAAAGACTTATTTATTTAATCTATCATCTATTAACTTGTTTGTTCAGGTTAATGTTTCTAGATACTGTCCAGCTATATAACATTCAGGAACAATTGATAAGAAAGAACATTATTATACATACCCAGGGGTGACTGTATTTGTTCTTGGCTGGGACACTTGGAAGAACATTTGCCATCCAAACTATTGACAACAAATGTTAGATTGGCCACCTTGTTATCAACATAATTTTCTATGTTGTTCATATTCACAAGATTCAGCTTCTCCAGGCGACCTTGCAGTACGTTGATCTCCCCTTTTGCACTTTTTAGTTCAGAGGACAGCTTGTTAACCTCGCTTTCTAACTCTCTCACTCTGTTGTCATCAGCCTGTCCCGGGACTCCTGTGCTAGGTAACAGCTGATCACTTCTGTCTGCATCACGGTTGTCATCAGCCTGTAGTTTGCAGTCTTGGCAAGATTTCTTTAGATGACTTACGATTTCCTTGAGGTTCTGAACTTCTTTTTTTTTTTTGAACTGCTTAGGGAGCTGAATGGTCAAGGGCGGCAGGCTCACCTGGAACGGGCACTCTCCTCCCTCCTCATTGCATTTCCCTCTGCTTTCTAGTCTCACCGGGCAGGACTCCTTTGCTCTTTCATCTTTAATTTCCTCCGTTTCATTGTTTGCCACAACCAAAAAGCCAGATGCAGCGAAGACAGCTGAGCCGAGCCAGTACCAGTTGGCTAGCTTCATCTCCGTGGTGGTGCTCCCTCCGGCAGGGAAGTGCGCAGGGCTGGGGCTGATTTAATAGTGGCAGCTGCCTGAGTCAGGCTTTCTGTGTTCCCAGAAAAGGGCGGGAGCGTTTGCATCACAAGTTTCAGAAACGCACAGGAAGAGGAGATCCGTCTACATCAGATGCACGTTACCAAAAACTGTAATTGGTTCTCAATCAAAAGAACAGGCGTGGGAATTCTTGTAGCCCATCAGCTGCATATATTCAACAGGATTCACTTTCATGATTTATTTTATAAATAAATAAAGGAAAAGGTTTTCTCCAAGGAAAACCTTGCATCTAGAAAATGGTTCGTTATGTTTTTAAGTAAATCATGTAAATAAATGATTATAACTAACTCCATTAGAAAAATCAGAATCTAAAGGTAAAAATGGGTTAGTTGTTCAAACTGTCTGAAGAACGAAAATGTTTCCAAACTGTAAATGGTCCTTTTTTCCCTCTTAGAATGGGGAGTCGATGATGCTGTATTTTCTTTTTTTTTTTTAATTTTATTTTATTTATTTACTCATTGTTATTATTTTTTAAATTTTCTATGGGGAATGAAATTTATAGACCAGGCAGAGAGAGCGAGAAGGAAAATGAGAAAGCAAGCTGCCAGGTCTGAGACTTGAACCGTGTTTGACTACATGGGAGTCCAGTGACATAACCATTATGTCATCTGCTAGTCCTGATGCTGTATTTTCTTTATGTTGGACTTTTGAGTGAAGTCTGAAGCACTTTGAAAAGTTCCTGACTCTTGCCCTGGACTTTTGTTTGTTCAATGTGAAAAGGGGAAGAAATCTGGTAGAGAAAAAGGGCAGCCTTCTCTTCCTTTGACCAGAGTGTGGTGCAGTATAAATGGCAAAATGCCTAAGGCACATTTAAAAGGACTTTTTGTCTTTCATCAAAACCAGAAGTCACCTCCTCTGCCCTTTATTGTTCTTGTAGTTGTACTGTGATCTTCCATAGCTGCTCAAATGCCAATCTTGTAACGGTTCCTATCTCTGTTCCGTTCCTTCTCCTGACTGTGGTATCTTCGGTGACAATTAAGCATCTGGCTTTCTGCCCCCACAGAGGACCCTCCACTTGTCCTCTAGGCTACTAGGTATATCACCTGTCCAAAACGTGTCAGCACGCCTGACCATAGTTTTCAAACTTTTCCCCTCAGAGGCTGAGGGCAGGAAGGAGGAACAGCTTTGAGAAGTCACCTCCTCTTAATTTGTTTTGTAAACTGGTATGTCTCATATACGATTTCTTATTACAGAAGGATTTTATTACCTTAGACATAATTACAGATTGACTGACATGGATGAAAATCCAAATCCTTTGCTGTATTACTTAAGGCACTCTGTAATCTATCTCATATTTATTTCTTTAACGTGATTTCCTATGATTTTTCCATATACCCCTTCATTCCAGCTAAAATCCCATATCCGTGTTCTTAAAAATATGTCAGGCTCACTTTACAGTTTTGGACTGTATTTACTCTTGAATGCTCAGGAGACCTGGATTCCAAGCCTAGATCTACCTCTGATTAAATATGTAAATCGTTAACTTTACTGAACTCTAATTCCTGTGACTGTAGAGGAGGAATTCAATTTTTTTTCCCTTTGCCATACAAACTTTGAGTGCTTAAGGGGGGAAAAATGCTGTGTATAAATGTAACATTCTTTCCAAACAAATTTGTCAAACATGTTCTACACACCTTATGTCTCATTTTTCACCATCTTCTTTCAACTTTTAAAAAAGTTGTTTTCTCATTCCATTTATCCAAAACCAATTTTAGAGAAGAAAATTTAACTTTCCAGCTAAAAATATTCATTTAATCTCCTAACTTTATTTCTCTTTCCTCACTCATTTTCAAGCTGACCCTCCCTGACATGAGGAAAGAAAGAAATGATCATTTAAAGAGAATAATGATAATAAACATTTTTAAATATTTTACAAAGTAGAAATATATGGGAATGATGTTTAATTCTATTAAATGCTCTTGGCTGGCTCAAGTGGCATTTAAGGCAGCTGGATCCCATATGGATAACTCTGTGGTTTGAGTCCCATACCTGGAGACTTGAAAAACATACCAGGCATGTGTGTGTGTATGTGCCCAAAATCCTGAGAGGACAATGGTGAAGGGATTGTGGTGTGGTCATCCTTTCTGGGGGTTGATTTCTCACTTTCTCTCTCTGTCTCTCTCTCCAGTGAGCACATGTGCCCTGTAGCAAACTAAAAATAAATAATCCTTATATTTAGCTAGTTAATGTTTGTTTGTTAAATATCTTCTGTATACTCAGTACTATGTTAGAGCATATATATGCTAAACATAGCATCTTTCATTCATTCATTCATTCATTCATTCATCATATATTAACTAAGCACTGTGGTTTGAGTCTGTTCTTGGCACATGGGCTATCGTAGTAAACAAATGAGACAACAATACCTTTTCCTTCTTAGGAACGGGCATATGACAACCTCATAGTTTCTTCATGCTGACCTGTCAAGTCTTAACCCTAAGCACATTTCAAAGTTTCTAGATCTGATGTGAGTGCAGCTTTCTGACTGTATTGCAGTGGGCTTTAGGTTGATCTGTTTGAATTAGACTTGCTTTCGAAGCAGACTGCTGATTCTTGGGCCCTACACACTCTGGTTATCCAAGGACCAAAGAATTCCATCTAAAAAGTTTGGACATATTTTAGGAACTGACTCCTGTCCCTTCAGGATCCATAGAAAATTATCCAAATAAAGGGCAAGAATGGCTTTATTCATCAGTTTCAGTGAAACTGCAAGGTGATCCTCTAGGTTTGACTATGAGGCAGACACTGACTACCACACGGAAGATGTGCACCCACCTAATGAACTGATAACCTGCGGAGGCAGGGTGTGTCATGCCACTACTATTCGAGAGAATTTCAGGAATGTTATCTCCAACATCCTCACATATCTACAATGACTCCCTGCACCTGCTGATGAGCATAGTAAGGGCTCAGAGCAATAAATGACTTGCCTATGGTTTTACAGTTTTTAAGAGAGAGCTGGAGTTGGAACCAGGATGTGATTCCAAAGTTCACATCTCGCCTTCTATGCCACACCGCTGCATAGGGGAAAGGAATGACCTGGGGAGGTATATTGAACCATGTGTGGGGATCCTGGTGCTTCAATCAGTGCTTAGATCAGTGGGGAAACGCTGAAGGTTTTTGAGCAAGGGAATAGAATCCTCCCCTCACCCCCTCCAGGACTTTTTTTGGGGAATGAATCTGCTTGAAATCAGTGTGACATGGTGTTCCTGGTGAGAGAGATTAATGTAGTAGAAGGTACTAGATAAGAGGTGAGGCAATGTAGTGGCAGGAAAGGTGGTAAAGGGAATGCAGACATCCGCCAAAAAGTGATAGAAGCCATAGAGCCTGATAAGTGATGGGGAATGACAGGAGAGGGAGAATTGTGAAAAAACTAATTATGAATTACCAGTGTCATGGTAATGACAGTAGAGAGGAAATGATAGGTTGGGGAAAGTATAGTGGTAGTATTTCTGTTTTATATTATGTTGATTTTTTTGGGGGGGGGGAAGGTTTCTTTTGGTAGAGGGTGTGTGCACTCACTGGAGAGAGATGGAGACAGTGAGAAGGAAAGCAAGAAATCACGTCCCAGAGGGAGTGACCACACCACAGTCCCTTCTCCTACACTCTCCTCCTGGGATCTTGGGCACGCACAAACATGTGCCCATCATGAGTTTCAAGCCACCAGCTATGAGACTCGAACTGCAGTCGGCCATATGGGAGTCCAGCAACATAACTGCTATACCATCTGAATTTTAAATGTTGAAAATATAGAAACAGCTAGCAAACAGTTACACATCTGGGTATGAAAGTCAGCATGGAATAGATATGAATGTCAAATTTGAAACTATAGGAGTCAAAAGGATGGTCAGATAAATAGGGTGAAAACCAGGAGAGAGGGTTTTAAGAAGGAGGAAGCCATGAGAAAGTAAAATAAATAAAACTGAAGAGTTAACTTCCTTGTACTCCATTCCTATTTAATTCCCACTCTCTGTCTTTGACCTTCTGTCTCTTCCCTCTTGCTGAAAGCTTTTCTGGATTCTGTACTGCCAAGCCTGCTCTGTACTGGTGTGGGCTCCTGATTTCTCCCTCATGGCAATGTCAGAATCTTCCCCTTTACCTTGTGCCTACCCTCAACTTAGTTCTGACGCTATAAACTGTAGACCTACAGATTTGTTTTTCAGATATAAACATATTATTTAGTACCTGTATGTGGTGGGATTTTAAAGAAACAAGATCTGTACTCATAAAGGCATATGAGTACTCATATGAAAACTACTTTCATTAGTCTATATTCACATGTTTAGGTTTCTTTGTTTCTTTTACAAAGTATATTTGAGAGGATCTGTATTTTCCATATCTGGATCAGATTTCTAATGTAAATTTTCTAATATAGGTTTTTTGTTTTTTGTTTTTTTAAGGAAACTATATCTCTACTTGTACCAAAGGAAGTAGGTACATTTTTTTTTCTTTTTTTGGAGAGGTTTTTGCTATAGGGCGCGTGCGCTCGCCAGACAGACAGAGACAGAGAGATAGAAAGCGAGAAATCACCCCCCAGGGGGGATGGCCACGCCACAATCCCTTCTCCTCCATTCTCCTCTCGGGATCTTGGGCATGCACGCACACGCACCTGTTGTGAGTTTTAAGCCACCGGGTTCGGGACGTGAACTGCGGTCGACTACATGAGAGTCCAGCGACATAGCCATTATGCTAACTGCTGGTCCCAGGATGTGCTTTTCTGATAAGAAAGTTCCAGCATTCATTTTTTTAAAACTTGATTTGAAATGTCAACAATAAATAATATTTATCTTAATATTCCTTAGAGGCCTTAGTCCTTGTTCATTATAAACCTCATGGAAAGAACTGCAAACAAAATTCTCCTTCCAGTAACCCTAGAAAGATCAAGAATTGCCTGATTGTGATTACAGCTAGAATAACATTCGGTTGTCTGAAAAGTCACGACCCATTTTTGCATAGAAAAACTTAGAAAAAATACATCCTAACTTTTTCAATG